AGGGGTGTGTGTGTGTGTGTGTGTGTGTGTGTGTGTGTGTCCAGATGGATGATCCTGATGTAGATCATGAGAACCTGGCCTGGGAGTCTGAGGCCCTAACAGGGATGAGAGTTTCGGGCATCCGAGATGGGAGAAAGCATATGGCGCACGTAGGGAGAAAACTGTGGGCAGATTGTGGAATGTGACAGATTGCTTCATGGCCACAAATTCCTTTGTCACAGAAGGCAGGGTCCTTTGTAGTGAAATTTCGCCACGTCTCCCCCACATTTCTCAGGTGTATGAAATCGGCTGGCCGAGTGATTCCATCTTGCTCAAGAGAACGTGGCAGAAGTGATGCTGTGTAGATTCAGAGCCCAGGACTCAGATTGTCTTGGGACTTGTGCCTTTGCCCCCTTGGAATACTGTCCTGCGAGCAGGAAGCTTGTCTAACCCACAGGAGCAGGAGAGGCCATGTGACGGAGATCATGTGCTGAACACGTGAGGCTGCAACCATGTTCCAGGCCTGCTGACCCTCCAGCTAACGGCAGCCCTGTGGTGGGCCCAGATGGAAGCAGAAGCCATTCCATGGGAGAGTAAAATAATCAGTGTTGTTTTCAGCTACTAATTTTGGGGCAGTTTGCTATGTACTGACAGAAAATTATACTATCTTGCATGACTGATCAAGACACAAACAAAAAAGCAAACATGAGACACTAACATCAGGGATGGGGAAAAAAAGACTCTGCACATCGAGGGGTTACTAAAGGGCTGTTGTGAACCTCATTGTGCCCAAGATTTAATAACTTAGGGGAGATAGGTAAATTCCAATGTCTATATAAAAATATAACTGGTTGGGGCGCCTGGGTGGCGCAGTCGGTTAAGCGTCCGACTTCAGCCAGGTCACGATCTCGCGGTCCGTGAGTTCGAGCCCCGCGTCAGGCTCTGGGCTGATGGCTCACAGCCTGGAGCCTGTTTCCGATTCTGTGTCTCCCTCTCTCTCTGCCCCTCCCCCGTTCATGCTCTGTCTCTCTCTGTCCCAAAAATAAATAAACGTTGAAAAAAAAAATTAAAAATATAACTGGCACAAAATAAACAGAAAATGTAAACAGCCCTCCATCACTTTTTAAAATTGCATCCATAAATAATGGCCTTTTCATATAGAAAACTCCAGGCTCAAAGAGCTTCACTGGTAAATTCTACCCAATATCTGAGAAAGAAACAAGACCGATGTTACCGCACTCTTTCGGAGAAGAGAGGAAGAGGCATCACTTCCCAACACGCCCCGTGAGTCCAGCATTAAGCCCAACACCAAACTTTGGTGATAATGAAAGAGAAGAAAATGATAGGCCAATATTTTTTCTTCAACAGAGATACAAAAATTCATCACAAAATAACAGAAAATTACATCCAGCAGTATAGACAAGGTATAGCATGTCATAACCAAGTGAGTGCACTCAGAATACAAAGTTAATATCTGAAGATTAATTGTAATTCATTACTTAGAGTAAGAAAAACAACCATATAATCATCCTAACAGGGGCAGAGAAAGTATTTGATAAGATTCAACTCATTCAACGCACTCATTGTGAAAACTCTCAGCAAGCCGGGAACAGAAGGAGGCACCCTCCATGAGGTAACAGGCACCCCGAGAAGCCTGTGCTTAGCAAGCGCCATGCTCGATGGCCAGAAGTGGAATGATCTTCCCCAAAGAAAGGGAACATGGCAAGGACGGCCACTCTTTCCACTTGTATTCCACAGCAAGTGGAGGTGATAACCAGTGAGGTAAGGCAAGAAAAAGAAATGAAATGTATAAAAATGGGAATGGAAAAAGTAAAACTCTTTTCTCCTCACAGGTGATATGATTCTATGGGGAGAAAATCCTAATCTAAAGGAAAACTACTAAAAACTAGGTAAATTTTTCGAGGTTGTGAGATTCAAGAACAAAACTAAAAAGGTTAACGAGTCAAGGTCGCAAAAGAAAAGCAAGTGTAAGAAATTGTCACAGGTTGGAGGAGACTAAGGAGGTGTGACAAGCGAACGGACTGGATCCTGGAACAGAACAACGTTGGTGGAGAAACTGGAGTGAAGTCCATAGTTAATGGTATTTACCAGTTAATTTCTTAGTTGAGACCATGGTACGGCTGGAAGCTGAATAACATTCCGTTGTGTGGATGGATCACTATTTTGTTCATCCCTTCACCCGTCACTGGACATCTGAGGTTGCTTCCAAGTTTTGGCTATTGTGAATAACGCTGCTGTGAACATCGGTATACAGATACCTGTTTCAAGAAAAGTTCTGTCTCTTGCCTGGGGTGTTAGTCACACAGGTATGCGTTTTCAAAGTTCATTAAATGACACACTGAAAGCCTGTGAACTAACCTAGTTCTGTCAAACCCTACCACCGCGGGCCTCAGGGATGGTCTTGTACTCCCTCTGTACTGCTGCCCTCCCCCACTCCTGACACGCACCTGCTGGCCTGCACCTTGGAGGCTTGGGAGGAAAGCTACAGCCCTGAGCGGGAGGGGGGCCCCCACTTGCTCTAACACATCACTCAACCCACCCTCCGCGAGTCACTTGCACGAGGGGAATGGCTGGCCTTCCCAGGAGACCCCGCTGGCTGGCCCTGTGCACCTCACAGGACTCAGGCCTTGGTCTAGTCCGCCCCGGGCGCTTCACTCTTTGCATCCAAGCCCCCAGATGCAGCCTGCGTCACCTAGGGTGGCTGTGCCTGCATTCAGTGGGGAGTGGCCTGTGCTCCTGGGCCGTCCCCACCCAGGGTTCCCCACACAGAGAGCAGCAGGCTTTTGAGCATTTCGGG